GCCCCCCCCCCCCCCCCCCCCCCCACACACCGATCTTCCCACGTCTGTCTGTCCTTCATCCAGACTTTGGAATCGGCCATGTACCGACACAAGCAAGATGCGGTCACATTAGAGCTCCAGCCGCACTCTCTCTCTCTCTCTCTCTCGTGTGTGTGTGTGTGTGTAGAAAGGAGGACGGCAGCATTGACCCGGACGAGTTGGGCGTCGAGGGCCCCAAAGACCTGATGCACTTCATGGAGCTGGCGGGCGGCAAGGTGGTGCCCCTCGACTATGTGGTGTCGGGCGAATGGCAGAAGGACTAACCCAAAAGCAGCCCGACCCCCGCGGACAACGACAAGGCCATGGACAGTGACGAAGAGGGCAGCGACGAGAGCAGTGAGGACCTATACACACACACACACACACATACACATACACACACCTGTGTGTCTTGTGTGCAGGCGGGGCGGAGGCCAACGACACGAAGCGCACGTGACTAGCCGACTTGCTGCAGATGGATAGACAGCACAGACAGGCGGAATGAAATGCCTTTTTTTCGGAGTGCACAGGGGAGACAGGTCTGATGTGATAGGGCAGGTCCCTTTTTTCGGTGTGGTGCAGGGCAGGACCATTCCAATTTTATTGGTAGGTAGCCAGGTGGCTCGGTGTGTCGGTGGCTGGGTGGGTGGCTGGGACTTTTGTCCGTTTGTGTGCTGGGGCTCGGCGGTTGCTGATGGGATGTGTGGATCGTTTTGGCAAGTGAGGCGAGTGGCTACTGAGCGCATTGGTAGGGGCTTGTGTGATGATGTCGGTACGTCAGAGTGAGCGGATCTCGTTTGTGAGTCACTTAATTCAGGGACGGGGGAATGCTACCCAACTCGCGTCAACAATCCTTGACCACATAAATGTCTCACGCCATGCAACATGAACGCCAAATCGGATGTAGGCACATGGAAAGCCGTCCGATTTCCATACGCTCGATCGTAGCTACCTACCCACTGTCGTGTGTGGCGGCGATGGTGAGCTTACCGTCGTCCTGGTCGCACCCTATGATTGTGCCCTCGACGCTGCCGAGTTGTGCAGGCGCGGCAGCATCTAATATTTGCACGGCAGACTCGAGCAGGCTGCGTGTGTGGGCGTCCATGCCCAGCAGCGACCTCATGCTCAAACAGGCGAACTCGACAGAGTCCGAGACGCCTGCAGGAACTGATGCATTTGACACACAGGCAGACTCACGCACGGGTCTCTCAGTCGGGCTGTCTACGCACCCACACACCCACCCACCTGTGAGATCGACGAGCAGTCTTGTGATGCATGGGAGTCCATCTGCCTGCTCGCCTATGTCGATGGCGTCCCCGCTGCCCTCTCCCCAAATCACACTCGCAGTCACCAGGTCGAGCTCTCGCTCAGGCCCGATCGCCTTGATGGCCTGCAGCGCCTGTTCCATCGGCACACCGCCCAGGATGGACAGCACCCGCAAGTTGGGCATCTTGCTGGCCAGCTGGGTGCCGGCCGCTAATGCCGTGCGCTTGCCGAGGACCAGGGTCGACACCTGCGGCATCGGCTGGATCTGGTCGATGATGGCGAGGGCAGGGTGGGCGGGGGCGGGGGCGGCCTGTGCAGGCTGGTCGACACCGATCACAACCGCACTTGTGGCCTTGTTGAATAAAAGGCCTGGCCATGTCGAGCATCGCAGGCGTGGGCGGGATGCCACCCGAGTAGGACCACCTGACGTCCACTGCCACCACAGTCGCCTGGTCTGCCAGCTGGCGCATGAGGGTCTTGAGGATGGGGGAGGGGGCAGCGGGGAAGAGGGGGCTGTGCAGAGTCACCAGGATGAACAATCCTGCGGCACTGGTGAAGCTAATGGGGACGTCCCCGATGCACACCGCACTGGCGAATGTCTGCAGGGCCTCGGCGAACTGGACAATCCTTGGGCCCACATCCGCCGGCTCGACGAACTTGACCTTCAGCGACTTGAGGGACCGACGACAGCCTCGTGACACGAGGACCGACCCCAGCTCCTAAGAAAGGAAATGACATGGGTCAGTATCATTGCATCTGTTGTGCATTCCGTGTTAGCAGCCTGCTGACCTGCAACTGAGTGCACCATAACACCAACGCCTGCTGATTCGTCATCAGGTCGCCGGGGACCTCAATCACCCCGATATCCTCCAAATTCGCCAGCGGCCCCGCCTGCTCCAACACCTCGGCCTTCTGGTCAACCGTCGAGGGCACGTCGAACACCCTCAGGCACCGCGACGAGCCGACGAGCTGTCCCAGTGTGTCGACGTGCTCGTGCGCCTGCACCCGCTCCAGCGACGGGGCGCACCAGCCGCGGTTGCCGATGCCACGGTGGTGGGCAGTGAGGCCGGTGATGGATGTGAGGGCGGGGAGGGAGGGGGGCGGGGCACACGGAGGGGGAGGATGGGGTTGGTGCGCCCGACGGACGGCATGTCCTCGTCGTTCAGCTCAACCGCCTCGAAGGCGATCGTCGTGAGTGAGCCGTCGGGGATGTCGGCCTCCTCTCCCCGCCTCTCTGCCTCCGTTCTCTTCTCCGCCACCATCGCTGTGCGGCCCTCTGTGTGGCCCTCGATGAGTGCCGAGATGACGTCCAGACACCAGGCCCCCTCGCCAGCCGGGTGACCGCACCAGATGCGGGCGACCTTCGGCATGCGGCCGCCCCACCTCTTGGCCACGTTGACGGGCATCGTCTGCCAGAAGGCCCTGTCGGCGGCCCGGGAGCCGTCGATGTCCACCTGGCGCCACTGAGCCCCGGCCTCCTTGGCGATGCTGTTGTCGAAGAGCGGCCAGACGCCATAGTCCGAGATGAGAATGAGGTCCTCACGCGACAGACGCCTCCCAGCCTGCGATGGGGAAGATCCATCATTGTCGAATGCATCGAATTTGGCTTCCTGGTGGTCTTACCTCTCCCTCGTTGGTTGGCCGCCGTCCCGACTGAGAGATCAAACGAAAAGACGTGCCTGGCGTGCCTATCGGCGTGCCAGCCATCCTGCACATGTCACCACATCCGCAGAGCATACCATTCCACACACAGGCAGGGAATGACTGGAGGGGCTCAACTTAGGAGTGAGTGCTCGGCTCACCTGCATACTAGGTATTAGTTTAAGAGGCGAGATGCTAAGATCTACCACGACGTCTTGACGGGTCAAGGATAATGGATCACACCCGTAGCGTCAGGGAGGTGTAGCTCAACTGACAGGGGCAGCCCGAAAGGCTTTGGGTTAAACCCGCCGCCCTCGTACAATGCGGGTTCGACCCCGCCGCCTTCCACCTATGAGGCGTTCAGTGGAAATTCGCCACAGCAAGTTCTTGCCTTCTTGGCTCATCTGCAGCGCCCGTGGTTTGCCTGTTTCCGTTTGCAAGCAACTTGCAGCTTGCACGATCGCAAGCTCGCTGGGAAGAGCGTCGATTCCAAAGTTCTGATGCTCTGCCGGTGCTGGACTGAAGCCCCGAGTGGTCGTCCGGCGAGACCTTTCTCCGTCACGCCGTGGTAATGAGATTTTCTTCATCATTGTGCTTGGTTGGCGTGGTGGTGGCTGCTCCGGCCTGTAGGCGGTGCTGCCGTCACAGAGGTGAGGGCAACGCGACAGACACAGACACACACATGTGGGATGAATCAGACCAGCGCAGAACTGACACGGCCGTCCGGTTTGGTTGCCTTTGTGTGTGTGTCTGCAGGTGTATTTGGCCACTGCAGAGGGCGTGGGCTCTGGCGAAACACGCACCTGCCAGGTGGACTAATGAAATGCACAGAAGCGCACACACACAGACACACAGAGGGTGCGCCTGTGTGTGTGGTGTCAGTTGGCTGTGGGTGACGGGGGTCCGCTGCCCTTTGGTGAGGGTTATCTCGATTTGCGTGTGGAGATCGCCGTCACAAAGTCGAGAGACTGCGAAAGGGTACGCACACACACGAGAGGCATGTCGACTTGTGTGTGTGATCATTGGCTGGGGCGTGTGTGTGTGTGTGTGTCAGGGCACTGTGTTATGTTCCAGAAGATGGCACTGTCGTACAAGCAACTCCCAATCTGCCTGATGTGTGGCGTGTTACCATGTTGTGTGCGCAGTCGGCCGGTCGATCGGTCAGTTTGGCTGACTTCGGTGTGTGGCACCGCAACGAGATGAGCGGAGCCCTCCGCGGCCTCACGCGCGTCCGCCGCTTCCAGCAGGACGACGCCACCCGACCAAATCGCCGCACGCACAACAAGAAACTAACACACACAAGACAGAGAGAGAAGCGTTCAGAAACAATCATTTGTGTGAGTGTGGCTGTGTCTACGCGCCTGAGTGTCAGAGCTGAGCTGGACTTTTTGTCCTCTTCGTCTACAAGCGCTTTGGCTTCGACTTCGACCCAATGGCTGCACTGTCTTCTGTTCCCTGTTGATCCACAGGGGAAACTGAGCTGTGGGATAAGGCTGAGGGCTTCTCGCCGGTAAGGGATCTGCTCAAGGCGACGTCGCCCCCGCCGTCCTACGCCCTGCCGCTGCACGTGACCCTCCGGCCGCTAACATCCTGCTCGGTGGTGCTCTCTGTGACGAAATAAATGAGTGACAGACAGGCAGACACAGTGGGTGGGATGGCGGGGCGAGTGACGCAGTTGATTTGGGGGTGCGGCGCGCTGGTGTGTTTGTATGTCATTAATCGGCTGCCAGCGGATGGACAGCGGGATGAGATACCCACAAGACTTTGTGTGAGTGCGTGATCATGGCCAAGGGTATGGGTATGTAAGGGTCAAGCGAGAATTGAAAAACAGCACACACGCGTCAGCTATCAGTCCATCCATCTGTCAACCCATCGCCAACTCAACACGCTACCCCCACTACCCTTCCAGTCGGTCGACAGACAGCGACCGCCCCCCCGTCGCCTGTCACTCAGCTCGCGACGCCCCCCGGCACACACAGATGGTGTGGCGCCTGACCTGACACGCACCAAGGTCGCATCGATTTTTCCCTCATGTGTGTCGTGTGCGCACCTGACGCGTAATGTCAGATGGCTGACAGCAGCTCCAGGCAGGGGCGGTCCATCTTGTTCTGGGCGATGGCCACTGTCTGGGGGAAGGCAGTAGGGCCAGTAACGCCCTGCTGGGGCGCCTCGGTGGTCCAGAGGGCGATGCTTGCCGACTCATCAGGGTACTTGGTCATCTCGATGTAGGCCGTGAACTCGTCGCCTTCCTCGTCGCCACACAGTATGACGAGGCGGGAGGAGGTGTCGTAGTTGGTGTAGTCGATGGTGCGACAGCCCCACAGGGGCGGCTCCTGGGCCATCAGCGCACCGATGCTGTCATACCCAGCAGAGTACCGACTGTAGGACCGATACCACAGCACAGGCGACCATGTCAACGCTGTAGGACGCCAGTAGTTACACGACACCACACGCGACGACAGCGATGCCAAACTGAAAGAGCAGGAAGGGAAAAGGCAGACAACACGACACATTGGTGTGGTGTGCTCTCTCATTTGAGTCGCTGTATACTTCTCGATGATCCGTCCTCTAAAGGTGCATGCTCGAAACCAATTTCTGCAGACGCACACACACAGCGGCAAACACCATCCATGCCAAGTTGCCTCTCGTGTGGTGCTTTTCCCTCCCCTCTCTCACGTCGGCACGGGGGATCGGCTGCGTCGGTGTGCACCCTCACCACACCCCCGCCCACCGTGTCCCTCCCCCCGGCAGTGCGCGTCAGCTGCATACTGTCGCCCAGTCGGTGGGCGTAGAGGCTGTACTGGCGGATGGCCTCTGGGCGGTTGAGGAAGACGGTCTTGTCGGCCGTCGCCTGCCGCACGTCGGCTGCTGTGATGATGAGTGGAAGCGACGCCAGACAGCCACTGCTCCTGGCCAGGGGCAGGATTGGCTTATTGCCCGCCCACTGCCCGCCCTTGGCCAGCACCCACCACAGGCTCTCCAGAAACCCCCGTTGGGTCATCTGCTGCTGCCCGGCCCCTCCCTGCGGCTGCTGCTGCTGCTGGGTGGTGTTGTGGTCATACGTCAGCACGCTGTCGATCTGTTGCTCGCGCAGCAGCTGGTCGATGCGCTCCTGGATGCTCGTGGTGATGTTGGTGGCGAAGTCGAGTGTCTTGCAGGCACCAAAGAGAGCGGCACACCCCGCAACGCCCAGGAGGTCCGTGAAGTCCTCCGACAAAGCCGCCACCTCACAAAGCCCGAGGCTATCGACGATGGCCTTGAACAGACAGAAGGGCTCGCCGCTCTGCGCAGGCAAAGAAAGGCGACACGTGAGTCGAGGAGGATGGATTCATGTCAGCGATGCCGTGCAGGTGTGTACCTTCTGTCCATCGAGGCCCTGCTGCTGGACAATCTCACGGCCAACCCATTTGAAGCCATCGCACCCCTGCGAATCAACCGCACAAGATCCTTGTCAACAGGACATCCCTGTATGTGTGTGTGTCTGCTTACTGCCTGGATGTCGTCAAGCTTGTGGAAGTGTCTTGTGGCGTTGGGCACGACTCTCTTGAACTCCTCTGTGCCGCCCACCTCCCGCATGAAGACCCTCGTCCCTCCCGCAGTCGGCTCCAGCTTGTACACCTCGGCCTCCACCCACTGGAACTTGTCGTCCCTTCTCCGCTCCGACACCATCAGCACGCGGCTGCCCACACGATACCGACACGGCGATGCACCGACGGCCGCCTGCGTGACAAATGGGTCAAGCAACAAAAAAAGACGACGTCCAGCCCAGCCGTGCGCGTCTGTGCTGCGCGGCTTTGTGCTCTCTGTGCTCACCTGTGGATGAGTGTTACGGCCAGATGAGCTCGACGATGCCATCGTTGTGATGATGATGCAGCAGTGGCGGAGATCTCTAACTCACTCGAACACGCCGGTTTCCGCCGACCGGAGATCTGTCGACTCACAGGAAGTACACGCCGGCGGCTGTACTCAAAAACGACGCGGTCAGGACATTTATTCGATCTCGCGAGCTTCAAACATTCTGCGGCTGCGCCTCAGGCAGACGTCGCTCAGAGGACTCCCTCTCTGTTCCGCACGACAGAGATCTCATCGCACCTCTGCCGTGTTCGTCGTGAGCCCTCCTGTCTGGCGGAGTGCCGTCCGGCCTTGTGACTGATTGGCTCATTGACTCATCGACTGACTGATTTGGTCGTTGGACGTTCGCTGCCCTCTCACCGGTAAGCACAGCACGAGAGATGACAGACAGACAGACAGACAGACAGACAGACAGACGTGTGAACGACACACTCACTCACTGCGCCATTGTGTGTGTGGCGGTCTTCAGGCGTCGTGTGGGCTGCCGTGAGACCAGCGGGCGGCAACAATGAGCAGCACATCGGCATCAGCTGCTGCAGGTGGGCCGACTGAGTGGGAGAGGGAGGGGAGGGCTCATGTGTGTGTGGTGTGGTGTGTGTTGGCCAGGTGGTGGTGGTGGAAGTAGCGGTGTGGTTGACTTGGGGTTGGAGCCATAAATCACACCGCCACACACGACAATGAGCAGTCGGTGAGCCATGATGCGGCCGCACAAGCAAAGATCGTCATGGTCTCGTCTGCTTCTCGTGAGTCTGGCTCACTTGATTGGGTTTGACTTGATTGGGTTTGGGTTCGGGCGGCAGCTATACGCCCTGCCCGAGGCCCTCATGCACGGCACACTCCTCCCCCTCATCCACCGGCGCCCCCACACCGCACTCGCCGAGGTCAGCAGTGCCCTCTGCTGCACCTCACCGGCAGTCGGCACCGCCGTCGCGGCCGCCCTCATCCAACAAATCGACAGCATCATCGAACGCGACGGCCTCAGCGGCGTCATCGGCTATAGCCCGCTGCGCCAGTCGACCGGCGTCAGTCGGTCATTCCGGCTGATCCGGCTGCACCATGTGATGGTGACGAGGGGCGACTGGCGGGGCAACGTGCCGGTGCTGCGGATCGCCAAGAGCTGTGGACGAGTGCAGCAGCTGCCGATCGAGCTGACGGATGACGACCTGCAGCAGGTGGGCAGCAAGGCCGTCATCGACAGCCGGCCGCCCAGCATCCACCAATACGCCCTCTACAGTCACCGACTGGATCGCATGACAGGGCTGACGCGCGATGCCAACGGGAGGGAGATCCTGGGCATTGGTGAGGTGGTGGTGTACACACAGCAGACGGTGCCGGCTGAGTATGCGGACCGATTCGATGCGGCCGATCCCCCGTGTCGACGTGAGAGATGGGAAGGCAAAGTAGCGCAGGAGAGCCAACCTGAAATGGATGGTGTCTGCCACTGTTTGTATGTGTCTGCAGACTGTGGTGCCGAGTACGGCAGCTTCCGAGGACTGATCATCAGGAGGTATACAGCGACTCAGATGAGAGAACACGACACACCAATGTGTCGTGTTGTCTGCCTTTTCCCTCGGTGCTTTTTCAGTTTGGGAGAGTGGTTGTCGCGTTTGGTGTCGTATGAGTTCTGGACTCCGCCCTCTGACGAGTATCGTAGCATCGGTGGCCTGATGGCCGAGCAGCCGCCCCTGTGGGGCGGCCGCACCATCGACCACAGCACCATCGGCGACCCATACCGACTCCGACTCGTCATCTTGTGTGGCGACGAGGAGGGCGACGACTTCATGGCATACATCAGGATGTACGTGCATGGTAATGGGTCGGCATCGATCGACCTCTGGACCACCGAGGCGCCCCGGGAGGGCGGCAGTGGCCCTGCTGCCTTCCCGCGGGCAGTCGACATCGCCCACAACAAGATGGACGGCCCCGCCCTGGCGCTGCTGCGAAACATCTGACGGAGGTCGAATGAAACGACACATGGGGGAAGGGGAAGTTTGTCCACGTCTATTGCCTTTTCTCTTTCCTTCCCGGTGCAGGCACCTCCCCGTCTTTCAGCGTCGAGAGGCGTCGCGAGGTGGCTGTCGACCGACTGGAATGGTGGTGGGTGGGGTGACGGGGGGATGGCGTCAAGGGGGGCTGAAATGGCTGGCAGTGGGCGGCGGCTGGTTGACTTTAATCGGCTGGCGGACAGATGGATGGATGAGTTGATGTGTGTGCCTATGTATGTGTATTTGCTGTTTTTCATTCACTACTCTGTGCCAGGTGAATGAGTGTCGGCCACGTCATTTATTCCAGCCACGGCACACGCATCATCACCCGCACACACAAAACACACCACCGGGGAGGCCGCGAGATGGACCGATCGGCCTGCCTTCATCCGTGTCTGTGGTGTGTGGGAATCCCTGCGTTCTTAATTCCTCGTGTGTCGATGTGGTGCGAATATTTATCTGTCTGTTTGGATGGACATACACCTGATGAACCGACTGGGTGAGTGGCCGGACTGCCTCTGTGCATGAGCATCCTTTGAATTGATCGATGACACACCGAATGTCGATCTGAGGCTGTCAGTCTCTGTCGTGACACCACACACACCCAGCTCCCTGCCCTCGCAAAAAGCAGGGAATATCTCTCACTGTCTGTCTGTCTGTCTGTTTGTTTGTTTGTTATTTTTGTTACCCTACTAGAAGCTGCACACTGCACATACATACACCCATACGCCCCCTCTCAATTGCCCCCGCCCCATCTGGCACCATCTCCCTCCCTCCCTCCCTCCCTCCCTGGATCCATCGGTTTATCAGCCGAGCCATTTGGTGAAGAAGTCGTTGCCCTTGTCGTCCACAACTATAAAGGCCGGGAAGTTCTCCACCTCTATTTCCACACAGCCTGCAAACATCGCATCCATCCACATTGCACCCGAGAGAGAGAGGCATCCATTGTAAACGCCTCTGCTGTGCTCTGTCTGTGTGGATGGCCGGGCCGTGTGTGCGCAAACACATACACACCTCCATGCCGAGCTCTTCGTATTCCAGCACCTCCACCTTCTTGATGCAGTTCTGCGCCAATATCGCCGCAGGGCCGCCGATGCTGCCCAGATAAAACCCACCATGCTGCTTGCAAGCCTTGGACACCTGCACAACGCCCACCAAACCAACACACCACACCGCTCTCTGTCCTGCGTGTTTGTGCGGGCGTTGTACCTCCTTTCTCCTGTTGCCCTTGGCAAGAGTTATCATGGACCCGCCCGCAGCCATGAATGGCCCCACATACGAGTCCATCCGGCCAGCAAGAGACACCCATGCACCGCTCCACTCACACGCAGACGATACCCACAACCAACGCACTTAAATGCATGGGGTGGTATGGCCGAAGGGGTCAACAATCCTTGACCACATAAATGTCGCACGCCATGCAACATGAACGCCAAATCGGATGCAGGCACATGGAAAGCCGTCCGATTTCCACACGCTCGATCGTAGCTACCTACCCACTGTCGTGTGTGGCGGCGATGGTGAGCTTACCGTCGTCCTGGTCGCACCCTATGATTGTGCCCTCGACGCTGCCGAGTTGTGCAGGGACGGCAGCAATTATTATTTGCACGGCAGACTCGAGCAGGCTGCGTGTGTCGCTGTCCAGGCCCAGCAGGTAGCAGCACCGTCTTGCACCTGAGCTGCAGCAGCGACCTCATGCTCAAACAGGCGAACTCGACAGAGTCCGAGACGCCTGCAGGAAGTGATGCATTTGACACACAGGCAGACTCACGCACGGGTCTCTCAGTCGGGCTGTCTACGCACCCACGCACCCACCCACCCACCTGTGAGATCGACGAGCAGTCTTGTGATGCATGGGAGTCCATCTGCCGACTCGCCTATGTCGATGGCGTCCCCGCTGCCCTCTCCCCAAATCACACTCGCAGTCACCAGGTCGAGCTCTCGCT